GCTCCCCACTTATGCTAATGAAGCCCGGGAAATTCAAATCCCGGGCTTCATTAGCAAGTGCGGTATGCATACATTACCCTCCTAGTTCGAACTAGCGGGGTAGTGTAGACATACCCTCTCATAGTAAGAACTGTGACCAATGGGGGGTATTTGGCCTTTCAATTGTAGACTATTAAGGGCAAGGATGATCCCTGTCTTGTATCTTTTGGAGTGTTGATCACAGGGTCCTAAATAATAAATAATACTTATGACCACCAAGGTTCATAGCTTCTGTCAGCAAAGGAATGAGCAGTGCTCATGGTGAGCTTGAAGCTACAGGCTGAATCTCTCAAGTCTGGCCCTCTGTGGTCCAGTAACACCTGTGGTCTGGCATGGTTTTAGTTAGCTAAATGATCACGTATCATGGGTCTGGCCCAGGTTCCCATGGTCCCATAAAGTTTGTTTACAGCCACCAGTCCTGGCTCTCAGTTTTCTGTGGGTTTTTTTTGCTCTAATTTACCCCTAAATGTCTTCTAAGAGCCCAGCAAGCAGTGGAAGTGTTGGCAATGCTGCTAGACAATATTGACCTCCCGTGGCTAGGCAAATTCTCTGATTCGGCATCAGTCAGGTCCCAAAGGTGCCGGAATAGAGAAGTTCAACCTGTACACTGTGAGAATCTTTATAGTCTCTTAAATATGTATTTGCTATGTGGGGGTGGGGAGAAGGGCAATCAAAGGCTCACATTAGTGACTGATGATGCCCTGACTACAGGAAGCTTCTAATATGATCAGAGAAAAAACCGATCCTCTCTTCCTACATGCCCCAGGCACTGTTAAAATTAGAGCTCAGCCTAAACTAAGACCTCTTCAGTTTTGGGGGAGTTCATATCTGTACCCAAATGTTGTGGTTAATTGCAGGCCCACCGGGAGCTGAAATGACTTCAAGAGCAGTCACCAAACCACACCTTGGATTTAAAATTAAAGTAAGATTTACATTGACAATTTGTGTTGCCGACTGCCTGCTTTGTTTTGTGCCCACAGGCTTTGCAGACCCCAGTCGCTGGCTGTGAGAGAGTCAGCGTCGCACAGCTACAGAGGAACGGCAGGAACTGAAACCAGCTCTGTAATTTATAGCACTAATAAGGCTCAACTGCCATTTCTTGCGGTTTCCTCCCAAGTTGTCTTTGAAAATTTCGACTTGTGCTGTGTTTGTTGTTGTTGCTGCTAAGGTTCACTAGTTAGGTAACTGCTGTACCGTTTTGGTTCTCTTTGGTTCTGTCTGCATTGTTGATCATTTATATTTCAGTGGTGCCTAAAGGCCAAGCCGCCCCTGGGGCACCATGCTGCTAGGGGCTGGACAAACTGTGAATGACACTCCTGTCTCAAAGAGCTTACAAGCAAAACAAGTTAACCTTTGTGTAACCCCCACATCTTCTGGCTGGGGTGTACTGTCCCAGCTAGTGGCACTGAGCTCACTTACAGAAAGAATGCTTTTAGTTCAGGCGGTAGAGGCTCATGCACTAAACTTCAGAGGTCCCAGGTTCAATTTTGCCTGTCAGCGTTACATTTGCTCTTTTCTTCTATTTTCCCTGTGTTGCAGTAGTGCTGGTGCCACACCTCCCGGGTGAATGCTTGTGTAAACCAGCCAGTAGTGGTTTTACCTGAGAGACAACTAAGCCTGCTGAGACCAGGGTCTGTATGCAGTCAGGATGCTGTTTCTGTCTGCTGTCTTTATGTTGCCAGACGGGAGCAGTGTAAAGGGACCGAGGCAGAAAAAAAAATTGGGCCCATTGATCCTGGGGAGAGGAAAACTTTCCAACATAAAGCTGGCTTTGCAAATAGTTTCATTGCTCTTGGAGGGGTAGCTATGTTAGTCTGTAAGGGTATGTCTACACTGCCACCCTAGTTCGAACTAGGGGGCTAATGTAGGCATTCGAAGTTGCAAATGAAGCCCGGGATTTAAATATCCCGGGCTTCATTTGCATCTTGCCGGGTGCCGCTATTTTTAAATCCCCGTTAGTGCGGACTCCGTGCCCGCAGCTACACGCTGCACGGAGTAGGTAGTTCAAATTAGGCTCTCTAACGAGGTGTAACAGTAGTTCGAATTAGAGAGCCTAATTCGAACTACCTACTCCATGCCGCGTGTAGCCGTGGGCACGGAGTCCGCACTAACGGGGATTTAAAAATGGTGGCGCCTGGCAAGATGCAAACGAAGCCCGGGATATGTAAATCTCGGGCTTCATTTGTAACTTCGAATGCCTACATTAGCCACCCTAGTTCAAACTAGGGTGGCAGTGTAGACATACCCAAACTTAATAAAACATTGAGTGGTTCGGTAGCACCTTCTAAGCATGTCTACACTAGGAAATTATTTCAAAATAATAACTCCCAAATAACGATTTCAAAATAGTGTGTCCACACTACAGGAAAGCCTTTAAATTAGTCCGAGGCAGGCTCCGGTAATGTGGATGCAATACGTCGACTTAGAGCCACAGGAAGCACTGGGCACTAATTACTTTGAATGGTTCTGGAGAGTAGTTACTTCAAAATAGCAGCAATGGAATGTCCACCCTACTGCTATTTTGAAACACAGTACCTATTTCAAAAGAAGCATTATTCCTTGTGGAAAAGAGAAGTTATTATTTTGAAATAACCAGCCACGAGCTTGCGTAAGATCATTGGTGTGGGTAAGGGAAAGTTTTCAGTGACTGTCAAGAGAGAAATTGTATTGCCTGAGGTCCTGTCCATTGGTTGCAACCCAGAGGGGAGATCATGGATCTTTACACTGATCTCTGGAAAATTTTGAACTGCTTTGTCTTTACATCAGGCTCCATGAAAGCCTGTGAAAATGGCCAAAGTAAGCAAATGCCCAAGGCTGCTGGATGTCTTCACTGATATGGTTGGCTGCTTGCTGGTAATTTGCCTAACGGAAAGTGCATCAGGGATTGCTGGAGGCAAAAGGTCTGAAAAATGCAGCAAGTAGGTGCAATTTTAACACAAGAGTATGGACTCTTTGAGCGCTCCCAGTGGGTTTAAGTGTTGCACCACAGTGCAACCAAAACATCCCCACTTTAGCATAGCTTGGACCCAGCTGTTACAGCCTGAGCTGCTCTTTGGAATGTGGGACCGTTATGCTCCTACCGCGTCTTCTCTCAGCACACACACACTCTGCAGTGCTCCACAGCACTGCAATCTGCACGCTCGGAGACTGCCACAGCTCCTGAGAAAGGGACTGTGAAGGGGGGAGGGGGTGCGGGTGGGGTGGATCTGGAAGGGAAGGGACTCTGAAGAGGGGAGCAGCCATCACTCCAGCTGCAGGCTATAAGCAGGCTAACAACAGCAGGGATAAAAGGCTGCAGTCCAGCCAGGACAGGGCGGCTGCTGGAGAGACAGAGACAGACAGCAAAGGGGTTCCTCAGGGTCAGAGTGGAGGAAGCTGCTGAAAGGAACCAGTTCTCTGCCAGAAGGGATCAGAGAGGATTGCCAGGCGAGGGGTGCTAAGTAGGAAGCTGGCCAGGGAAGCAGTAAAAACATGTCCCTGACTGACTGCATCTCTCACGATCACGGGGCTAAGAATCAGAGGTGAGTCTGGGCTTGAGTCTCCCTACCACCTCATTTTGATTGGCCAGAGTCTGCTGAGAACTTCTCGGACTACTGAGTGAAGGAGCACTAAGGGGGCAGGTAAAACTCTAAGGCTGTGTCTAGACTGGCCAGTTTTTCCAGAAAATCAGCCACTTTTCCAGAAAAACTTGCCAGCTGTCTACACTGGCTGCTTGAATTTCCGCAAAAGCACTGACTTCCTACTGTAAGAAATCAGTGTTTCTTGCGGAAATACCATTCTGCTCCCGTTCAGGCAAAAGTCCCTTTTGCGCAAAGCTTTTGCGCAAAAGGGCCAGTGTAGACAGCTCAGATTTGTTTTCCGCAAAAAAGCTCCGATCGCGAAAATGGCGATCGGGGCTTATTTGCGGAAAAGCACGTCTAGATTGGCACGGACGAGCGTCCTTGCCAATCTAAACGCTCTGTTCCGAAAATGCTTTTAACGGAAAACTTTTCCCTTACAAGCATTTCCGGAAAATCATGCCAATCTAGACACAGCCTAAGTGTGGCCAGTCTCCTTTCAGCCCTGAAAGGGGAGACACACAAGTAGCCCAGCTAGAAGCCTGGATCTACAGATTGCTGGATATAGGTTCCATCCCTGGACTGAGGGGAACTGAGGCAAGCAAGGATAGCTATAGTTCCATGACTGATTGCCACGGGGAGCTGCAGGGCTGCGGTCTCTCTATTACTGAGGCAAATTTTACCCTCACATGTACATGCACATCTCCAAAGGAAACCAGAGTGGAACTAAGGGCTGAAATAGGCCAAATGTTGGGAGCGATTCTTGCAGCTGGGTCACAGAACCAGTAATAATAATTAGTGAACTTCACTTTCATTAATCTTCACAACATTGCTACGAAATAGGTTTTATCTACTTTTTTACAGAGCGGAAGTTAGGAGAAAATGGAATGAGTTGCCCAATGCAGCATGCTACGTAGTAAATCAGAAGCAAGCCAGGATGGCAACTCAGGTCCTCCTGACTCTTAAACTTATGCTCACTCCTCCAGTCTATCCTGTAGCTTTGGCTGATTTTGCAAGAGGCTTCACTTCTTGGTTTCCTTTACAGGCTTATAAATAGCAAAGTGCCCATTACAAGTCAGAAAAAAGTGTGTCTCTATCCTTTTCATGTTGCCCATCGTTGGGAGCACAGAGTTCTCACCTGACTTGGCATTTCTTCAATGTTTTAGGTAGAACTGATCTAAAAGAAAAAACCCTGCAAAATCCTGGGAGTTTAAAGGATTTTTTTTATTATTTAAAAAACGTAGCTTAGAAAATTTTCATGGAATTTTATATTGAAAATGTTTGCTTTAAAAGCATTCACTTTGTTTTCTTTCTCCCCACTATTTTTCCTTTGATAAAAGGGGAAGAAAATGGGAGGAAGGCAAAGATGAGAAAAGAGGAGAGAAGATGTGACCCCTTCCTACCGGAACCTCCCCTTCACTTTTGTTTCTTTGCAGCAACACAATAAAAAAAACTATCGAAACAAAGCTAAAAATGACAGAATGTTTTGAAAAGCGGAATATTTTGTGAAACTTTCATGTTTTTAAAAAGTCATATTTTTCCAACAAAAAGATTCATTTGAATAATATCGTGGTCATCTGGAATTTTCCAGATCTGCTCTTGCTGCGAGTCTCTTTAAAACCAATACACACAGGTATATTTGTGGGATAATTTGTATTATGAGTATATATTTCCTATTGACAGTAACACGCATCTCTGTGGGGTCCTATGTGGTCTTTGTTAATATAAAATTATATTAAGTGTATGGAACTCATTTGTACCTTTAGTTTATAAGGTGTGAAGAATAGGCATTCTGTTTGTCTTGAACACCGAATCTATTGTAAAGTTCTATGCACACATCATGGTAGTATCAACATGAGTTCAGCTACTACAAGATATATGCTACAGGATGCTTGGTGCTGTACAAGGCTTGGAATACAGACAGTCTAAGATCAGAAATCATTCTATATGAGTAAGAGCTTTCAATCTAAATAATCTAACCATAATAAAAATGACATGGGGCATCCTGTAAAACATGACTCAACTGGTAAATTCTGCCATTTGTTTATTATATCCTTTGCACCAGTAGTCAATATTTTTCAAGGGTTGGATGTTTCCTTTAGTCAGTTTTTTTCAGAGTACCAGTGGCAATCAATGAAAGCTTCCCTAGCTATTACAAACTTTATTCCATATTGTTCAATAAAAACAAACAAAAAACACAAGTATTTAAAGAATTGTCTTTCTGAAAACCTTAAAGTTGAGCAAGCAAAGAGTGGATTGAAATAACTGCAAAACAGGCCTCTCTCTAAAGAAGGAAACTGGTGCAGGGATTTTTTTTTAAAAGAAGAAAAACCATGAAAACTGATTTAATTATAAATATGCCAAAACAATATAAAGCAACACTTAGGTCACCCGTAGGTGGTTTTTTTGTTTTGTTTTTAAAAACAAAAAATGAATCCTCAGCTTGTATAATGTAGCATAGATCTAAATAATTGAACCCACATCAATTTATGATAGTTGAGGATCTGGCCAAAACATCAGTGCTCAATTGATGTTCACAAACTATAATTTTGTTCTGTGCTTTGCTCAAACCAGTTTAAGTTTGAAGTGAAAATATTTGTAGTAAAAACAGTAAATGAAATATTTTGCTCCCACTGTCCCTCTTTGTTTATGTAGCTGATCTTATGAATGCATATCAGGGAACTACTCTCCTGCTTCCGAAAGAAGTAAGAAAATAGAAACCTGCTTTTACTTCTGTTTCGTACTGATAATTTAAGCAAGACACATTTGAAACCTGGAAAAGAATGAAGCTTCATTCCTTTTCCTGGAAAATTTGGGCAGCTATGTCGGTTTGTCAAATCCATAGAAACGCAGGCAAAACCAAAAATACAACCTATCCCAACAATCACTACCCTTCACAAACAACTAACCAACCAAACACCCTTTCGAAAAAGCCCCAATTCTATAGTGGGAAATTTAATCTTACCCAAATGGCCACAACTCTAAAATGTCATTTTCCCCATCCAAATTCCCAAATAATTGAAGAGTTCATGGAGGGGAGTGTTGAGAACATACAGTATAGATGAGAAAGTGAAAAAAAGTTGTCTGGTTTGGATAAAATCATACACATGTTTATAGCTGATATCCCTCCCAACATCATACAGATACAGATGATCTGTTTGTTTATTTTACCCTGTGACCTAACTACTCACTTATCTAAAGAGAGATGGGAGGGGAATAAGGACAAATAAAGCTGGGGACTGTTCTGTCTTTTACAGGGGTGGGGGGAAAGGAACGATAAATGGTGAAGAGTGAATGTGGGAAAGAGATTTAGGCTTTGCAGTGTGAGCCATGACGGTATACCCTGGACTGTCCATGTGGAGTTCCACTGAACTAAAGGCATGGATTACTAGACTGTAGGGGTGGTTCCTTACTGCATTTAACTTGAAAAAACACAAAGGGCCCAACAAGGAACATAACTAATAAACCATGTACCTATCACCATGTTAATCACTTTGCAACTCCATCCACCTTTCTCTGGTAAGATCGCAACCTCTTCAGGACAGGGACTACATTTTCTGTGTTTGGCAAGCACCTGATATGTAATATAGACACATACATGCTGGGGGCACACGTCATATACTTCTACAAAGTTCCTCTCAATTAACCTGAAAAGATAGCATTGTTTACTGTATGGTCTAAATCTTCTGATGCTGGGTACAATGCATTGTGCTAGATCTGAAAAGTAGTGACCGGACAGAAAATGCACTGTACCACTGTATACTGAATAGCTGTGAGGTGGTAAGACTGCACTGTTTCTAGACAATGGAACAATCTATGTTGTGCTGTGAAGTATTTTCTAAAAAGAAACTGAAGGAATAATGAAACAGTATGGGAAAGGCGTATAACCTAAGATTTAATAGGGATGTGGTTGACTTGAACCAGGGCATCAAATAAGACAGGGACGATGGTGGTAGGAGATCCACTCTAGAATACAATAGAGTTCTAGGTGTCAGTGACTGGGACATGGGTGGCCATGCCTAGTGGCTAGAGCAGCCATCAGTAGCCAGGAACTGGAGCCTGAGCTCAGAGGCCAGGTACTAGAGTGAAGGGCCACAGACAGAGTCAGAAACCAGAGCTTGGGGTCCAAAAAACAGGCCCCTATTCCAGACCTAGGGGGTGTGGTGTGTGTCCTGGTTACATTCAGTCCCTTCACTTCTTCAGGGATGCTCTGAAAAAAGCTTGAAATCCACATTTCTGAGACTTGGAACAAATTTTCCAGAAAACCAGACCTGACATTTCTAAGGTAAAAAATGGGCAGGGGAAAATCCCATCCCAATTGCGCTATGCCTTCTGTCGACCCAAACCAAGGGCAAAACATCGTTATTCCCAGTGAAGGTCACATCTAAGAGTAATAAAAAGCTGGGATACTGGTCTGCTTCAAAAACCTAATGAAGTCAAGAGGCCCTGAACTAGGCCTCAACAATTCAGAAGCAGTCATCGCAAAATCCCCAAACACACATTTATCACCAGAATTGGCGTTGTCTGAGTTACGAGATCACACTCTGTTCTTTGGTGTCGCTAGGTCTGTGTGGGCTGTGAAGGTTTCTGCAGGGTTGGAGGGGTGGGTGCGTGCCTCATGTTACTTCCTAACAGGTCAGCTCAGCGTCATGTCAAGGGGCTTTTGAAGCATCTGCATTTGGATCTTTTCTCTTGGAATCGGGGTGGCGCTGGGGCGGTGCATTTATGGGTAGGCAGGTGAATGGGAAATGTTCTGGGACCTTCTGGGAGTAAATGTCTAATGTAGCAAATAATTTCAGGTCATTTGGTTTTACTCATTCCCACCTCTTCCCCTGTTGTTGTGAGGCAGACAGGGGTGAACAGAACTTACATTTCTTACAGGTACTATTCTTTCACAACCCGGGTCCTTGCCAGCTCTTTAAATAGCTCGCTGCTGGCTTTTGCTGCAGCTTAGCTAGATTTTGCTGGAGCTGCGCACTCAGGTGCACCCCCTTTTGTTCGCCTCTGGAGGCAGACCACAGCCATGCAATCACTTCCCATGTTTCTTTTTGCGTGCCACAACTCAGCTCTGCCAGCTAGAGATTTGTGACTTGAGAAAGAGGGAGAGGGAAAGTTTTGGTGCCTGCAAGAGAGAGTCATGACCAGGTCACGAGCAGCCTGATCTTGTTGTCAGAGCCAGAGTCCACAGTCATGAGACAGGAGTTGGCTGGGTCAGGATAGCAGGAGGCCAGACTCAGGAAACAAACTGGAGATCAGAGCCATGAGGCAGGCTGAATCAGGATACCAGGGGTCAGACGCAGGAGAACTACAAATCAGGTGCCAGGAAATCAAGGAGCAGCAACCTAATCGTTTGGACAGCTTCCTGTTTCTGCAGCAGGCTTAAGGAGGGCTAATGGGCCAATCAGCAGCTCTGGGACTCTGCCAATCAGACCTCAGGGCAGAGGCATGCACTGGGGATGGGCTCCATGGATTTCATTTAAATAAGTTTCCAGGAGGAGGGCTGGTGGGTAGCTGCTGCCATGAACCCTGCAGATCTGGGTTCCTAGACCCAAAGTAGTTGGATACCGCAGCCCTGCTTGAATCCTTTTGAGTCAGAGCATGGGACAGGCCTGTTTTCTGTGGGCCACCGGCCTATGGATCACAGGTAGGTCCAGAGGCTATACACATTTAGACACTGGAAAATGCATTGCCTCCCTGCTGCGTAATTAACTCATTTTTGCAAGAGCCGTGGCGTGTGGTGCCACTGTCGTCAAGACACGTGGCTATTCAGCAGCACTCCACATGGTGGTGCTCCTGTCTATAGCTGCTTCCCTGCATGGACAGGGGCTGCACACACTATTCGTGGCAACACCATTTGCCCAGTACAGCACTGGCAGGTCCTAAACATGCACTTTCACATTCCCTTCGGCTTGTTTTAAATTCTGATGCCATAGTTCAGCCTGTAATTCCTTCATGTTGGGGAGGGGAAAGCTATCTCTGCCATTACCCATATATGAGAAGACACATAGAATGCAGCTAGCCATTGTGCTATCAAAGTATGCACCTGCTCACCAGGGGAAGTGAGGTAGCCCATAGGAAAGGGCAATGTATCACAAACATTATGATGGAAGCTGTGTACGAGTCCACACACACACGCACACACACACACAAATAAGGAGAAAAAGCAACACACCTGGCCCCACTGACTATAAAATAGAATTGCTACCATACTGATGAGCCCTTCCAGTGGTAAGGGCCCTTCTTTTATAGCATCTGTTCTTAGCTCTGTGTGCTGGGCACTCTAAATATTTGTGCTGGCAAGGGAGAAGAGAGGTTCAGAAATGGCCTGCTTGATCAACCTGACATCAAATCTGTGCATGTGTAGTAATAACAATATTGTGGATTCACAGAAGCCTTTGCCTTTTCTCTGAGTGCTGTGCGTTAAATAGCACTGTCACTAGTCTTGTCCCCCTCACATGGCTTGACACAGGAAAGAAAATAAAGTATGCTGA